AGGGAAAAAAGGGAAAGGAAAAAAATATGAGACGAGGAAAAAAATGGAAACAAGGTCTTTGCAAATAGGGAAGGGTGGAGGGGGCGAAGGGAGGGCAAGGGAAGGGGAAAAAAATAAGAACCAAGAGACTCATGTAATGGTACAAGATCCCAATGATGAATGTAACTGTATGTTATACCGAAAATGTACCAATAAACTTCATGGGAAAAAAAATTTATAGTAGTAAAAAAAACAAGTTAGTTTCAAAAAAGAGAAAAAATTAAATTACAAAAGGGCGGGGCTGGGGCGCGCAGGAGTGAGCCTGAGCACAGGGGAAGAGGGCGGGGCGGCGGGCCTGGGCTGCACCTTAAAAGCGGGCTCGTGGAGTGGAGTGGGAGGGAGGAAGGCGGGAGGCGGAGGGCAGGCAGGCAGAAAGGGGGCCCGGTGTCCGGGGCACAGGGCTCGCGTGCGGCGGCGGAGGCAGCAGCGGGGAGGGGCCGCGCCAGTTAGCGCTGTGCCGCAAGCACTCCCTCCTCCTCCTGCTCTTGCATCCCGGCTCGCGAGCGCCCAGCACCAGCGGGCCGTGGGTGCGAGTGAGCGTGTGCGTGCTTATTTTCCTCTTTTCTTTCTCTCTCACTGTTTTTTCTCTCTGTTGCTCTTTTTTTTTTTGCAAAGAAACAGCAGCGTTGTTGCCGCTCCGCAGAGGCGCTGTGCCCCCGGGGGGAGGGGGGAGGGGCCGCCGCACTGGGAGGGAGGCAGCGCGCATGGTGCAGCCGGCCTGGGGGGAGACATGGCTGGGCCCCCACCCTATCGCCGCCCAGGCCCGCGCCGCCAGCGCCGACCCAGCAGCAGCAGCCGCCGCCAGAGGGGGGCGCGGGGCGGCCCGTGAGCCTGCGGGAAGTCATGTGCTACGTCGGGGGCAGCACAAGCGGGCGCCTGACTCGTGGCCGCGTGCAAAGGCTGTTGGAGGAGGAGGCAGTGGCGCGGGGCCGCCTGGAGCGCACTCACCTTGGAGCGCTCGCGCCACCCCGCAGGGACAGGCCTGGAAGGGCCCTGCTGGCTGCCTGCACCCGCGCGTCGCGGAGCGAGAAGAGAAGAGTGACTGCTTGAGAAAGAAGAGGAAGATGAAGAAGATGAAGATGACGAAGATGATGTGTCTGAGAGCTCAGAAGTGCCCGAGAGTGACCGTCCTGCAGGTGCCCAGCACCTCCAGCTTAATGGTGAACGTGCCCCTCCGAGCGCTAAGGAGAGGGTCAAGGAGTGGACACCCTGTGGACCCCTCCCGGGGCAGGACGAAGGGCGGGGACCGGCACCGGGGAGTGGTACCCCCCAGGTGTTCTCCATGGCAGCCATGAATAAGGAAGGAGGATCGGCCTCTGTTGCCACTGGGCCAGATTCCCTGTCCCCTGTGCCTTTGCCCCCAGGAAAGCCAGCCCTCCCTGGGGCCGATGGGACCCCTTTTGGCTGTACTCCCGGGCGCAAGGAGAAGCCAGCAGACCCGGTGGAGCGGACAGTGATGGGCGTGGTAGAGTACTTCACTGAGGCCTGCTTCCCTGAGCAGGCCACTGCCTTCCAGGAGCAGGAGATCGACGGCAAATCCTTGCTGCTCATGCAGCGCACAGATTGCTAACTGGCCTTCCCATCCGCCTGGGCCCAGCCCTCAAAATCTACGAGCACCACATCAAGGTGCTTCAGCAAGGCCATTTTGAAGATGAGGACCCTGATGGTTTTCTAGGCTGAGTGCCGGGCAATGCCCTCCCGAGGTCCATTCTGACTCCCATCTCACCCAAGCCCAGGAGAGTCCAGGAGAGTCCAGGAGCTGCCTAGGGCACCTGGGGCCCTGGTGACAGAGTCCGGCGAGGGGCGCCTCTCCATTCATCTCCCTTTGTCTCTCACACACACCTGGCCCCTGCATATCTGCTCCCCAACAGTGGAGTACAGTGTGGGACTCCAGGAGGCCGACCCCCTCCCAATCCAAGGACGTTTTTAGGAAAGAAAAAAAACAAATTTTGGCTTCCCCAAAATCATTTTCAGCCAGATGATTCCTATATAAATGTTTTGTTCTGCTCGTTCATTTTGGTGGGTGGTCTCCTCCCTCCCCCACCACCCATGCCCCCTTCCCAGCCTGCTGCCCCTGGCCTCCAGCCACAGGAGGCTTGGGGAACAGCTGGGTGGGGTCCTGGGTCTTGTCTGCCCTCCCCTTTCTCTCAGTCGTTGCTCCCGCTGGCTGTATTGCTTTTTAATATTGCACTGAAGGTTTTTTAAATAAAATTTTTTTAAAAAGGAAAAGAAAAAAGGAAGAAAAAAAAAAGGGGCCAGGGATTTAGCTCAGTGGTTTCGCTGCCTGCTGCACAAGCACAAGGACCCGAGTTCAATTCCCCGTACAAAAAATTAAATTAAAAGACAGAAGGAAACTGGTCCCCTCTGACTCAGGCATTGCTCACCTACTGTAAGAATGTGAGATAAATAGACAGGGAGAGAGAGAGAGAGAGAGAGAGAGAGAGAGAGAGAGAGAGAGAGAGAGACAGACACAGACAGAGAAAAGGATGCAGAGAAGAGAGAGGCGCCTCTGCTCAGGGCACTGTCCAGATGAGCAGCTGATGAGGGGAGAGAGCCAGCTTCCCTCTGAGGTGCAGTCAGGACAGGGAGCACACAGTGGGAACCACAGCAGGGCCCAATCTTGTGAACAGGGTCCCGTGAATACAGGCTCCAGTGGTGGAGACTGCAGGAGAACCTGGGCCTTCTGAGCCTTTTCTTAGCAATGTTGAGACAAGAAATACCTTTCTATCGGGGGATCCACAACTTTCCTCGCTGTGTCTCAGCTCTCCATGCACTCAGAGCAACAGTTCAGAGCCGATGTGCATGCTATCCTCACTTTAACCTCTCTCAGGCTTCTTTAAGGACAATAACGGCCCCAAACTGCTTAGTTCTCCCTGCACAGATGCCCTCTCTGAATGCCCAGAGGACACACAGGGCCTTGGTGAAGGCCATGGTGCCTTTGGCTGGGTGAGTGACACCATGGCCATCGGCAGGCTTTTCTCACCCTGACTGAAATCTGTGGCCACTCCCAACCCCGGGTCTTGGCTTTCACACAACCCTTCTCCTGTCACACTGGCTTACAGCCCTGACCACGCTCGGTTACCTGGAGTCTGGGGACTCTGTTTCTTCCTCATCATCCCCATTGCAGTGCTGCTCTGCAAGCAAATTCAGAAAGGTGCAGACAGTCACTCCATGGTGCCACTTCCCCCATGCCCACCCCACCCACCTGAGCGCGAGGACACGAATGAGCACGCAGGGTTTTTGGAGGGACATGGGGAACTGCACTGAATGACCTGTGTCACCTCAGCAGAAACAATCTGGGGTGCAGGCTGCTCCTCCATGCACAACGTCCCCATCTGGGGATGATTATCCTGATGAGCTATGAGTTTTCCTGGGCCAAGTTCACTTGGATCTTGGTCAGCCGAGCACTGGATACTCCTTGCTCCTGTCACACAGCTGGAGCGCAGGGTAAATGGATCTCTAGCTCACCATGGCTCTCACATCCCTCTGCCTCCTTTCACTAAGGAAAGGAGATACAAGCCTGCCCTACAATGCCCACACCCTGGTAACTTCCTTGCATGCCCCGTCATCCTCTTACCATGTATGTAGTGGCCATTCTCCCAATGTTACCCAATGTCCCAGACCACATTCTGTGACATCCAATCCTTAGTGAAACTTTTCAGGGTGACAACAGCCCTCTGAAAGGACACTCACAGAGATTCCCTACTCGAATGCTACAACTCCAGTGTAACAACCCTGAGCGCCTTGTAGACACATGAGCAAACGGAAATCATGCAAGGATCTGGAACCCCTCAGCCACAATAAAGTCAGCGTGAGGACACCTGAGAGAAAACTGCCCTCAGCCCAGACTGTGAGGAACCTAACCCCCCGCCCCATCTCCCCTCCCTGTGAGGATGGCGAGGAAGGCTGTTGGTGTCAGGAGCCCCATTCTATCGGGGAGAACAGTGAGGGGGAATTGTGTGGCCTCCACCCCATGTGTTCCTCCCCCCAAGTGTTCCTCCAGGGCGGCATCCTGATGAGCTGAGACTCCCAGGAAAACGTAGACAGTAAGGGAAGTGATGTAGAGATGGCCTGTCTGCCGGGGTCTCCCACAGCTGGGTGCCTTGGAGAAGCCCAGTGTTGACCAGGGCCCGCAGCCACTTCACCTGGGCTGAGCTGGAGGGCGAGGGCTCTTGGCCAGCCTGCGCCTCTCTGCATGTTGTTCCTGGTGGCTCACAGGTCCATCTGGGGTCAGCATGTCCTTCAGACTCAGTCGCAGGTAGAAGATTATGTCCCTCCATCTCTGAAACTGCTCTATAGGCTTCAAATCCAAGGCCAGATCTTCAATTATAACCCTGAAATGCCCAGCAGAGAAGAGATGGCAAAACTTGCAATTAGCACTCAGCTTTCAGGCATGGTCAAGAATGACAAGAAGCAGGGAAACCAGCGGAGTGTAAATGGGCTGACTGTTCAGGCACAGGACTGTGCCCGGGACTCCTCTGAGCACATCTGAGGGGGCCCTTCCAATGGAAAGCTCACGCCTGTTTGAGACCAGCGCATAAATGATCTGGCATAGTGTGGATTCCTGAGCACATCTACACCTACACCTCATGTCTGCCCTGTTTCCTTAGCTCCATAGTTTCCTGCCTGTGATAAACCTGACAATGAGCCAAGGCCTCGTATGCAGAGGGCAGTTCTGCATCCCTCTCTGAGTTTAATCCTCGAGGGAACAAGTGGCCACGTGTGCATGAATACTGAAACCCACGGTCATGATAGCTCTCCTGGATTCTATTTGGATTACCAAGAAACTAGTAAAAGCAATAGTCCATACAAGAAAAGGAAACAAGGTTAGCGGCATGGTTTAAACACAGACTCGGTGGCTGCCTGACTGGGTGAAGTAAGTGTGCTCAGGAGATCTGATTTCCCTGGGATCTATACAGGAAATCTCCATGACACCTTGGTTACCATCACTGGTCCTCCATGCTCAGTTACCTGGGCGATTCTGGCTCCAGGGTGTCCTCGTCCTCAGGGTGATTTTGATTTTCTGTAAATAAAGTCAGACGGGGATGGTCACATCATACCATCCCTGCTCACACCTTGCAAGCCCACGGCTGTCATTATTCTCTAAGCAAACGAACAGTCTGAGAGCAACACTGCAGGAGGCATAGGACGTTTTCTGCGAGAAGTAATGGGGCTTGTTTCCTGAGCCATGGGACAGACAGCTACAGGTCAGCAAGTCAGGCTCCTGCTCTGAATGCTGGGACACAGCTCAGCTAGCCTCTTCCCACAGACATCCTAGGACCTGCCTAACTGCCTCTGGTGATCCTGGAGCCACAAGGCTCGTCAGGAACTCTCCATGTACAGTTGAGTGGAGACCCTGGGATGAGACTGATGTGAAATATACAAACTCTTCAAAGAAAGGTCCCTGGTGCTCCCCGGGACACGGGTTCCTTGCATAGTGGCAGGGGTTGCAGGTCCTAGGCCTGAGCTTCAGGGTTGCACAGGGACTGTGGAGACTGTTGGCTGAGCCTGTGTGGATGGACAGCTCTACAGAGCCTCGAGGGGGAGAGATCCCAGGGGCTGCTGAGAGAAGACGACGCTTGCATCCAAGGAGGCGAGAGTGGCAAGGCTCAGCGGCACCCCCAGGAATATGGTCAGGCGCAGTCATGGTTGTCTACACCCTGGCAGGGAACTGACACCTTTCATGCAGAGGACAGCTAGAAGAGACAGAGACGGTGGCTGGGCGTCCAGGAACCATAACAACATCTCCCGCGAACAACTCAAGTGGAGCGATGTATTTGTACATAACTGAAGGCCAAAGCACAGCATTCAGGAGCAACAATTACCAGAGCACTGTGGGAGACATCAGCTGCTCCAGCTGGACAAAGCGAACCTGTGCAGATGAACAAAGCCCGCCAGGAGCGGTAACCTTGCTGCTGTGAGTCTGTTACGTCCGTGCCAGCCTGTCCCCTCTGTGTCTGCTGCCCTGAGTTTGCACTGGGGCCACCAGAAATGGGTGAGGTGAGTGTGGTTTCCTTAATAATGCGGGACTCACCGGAGGCACCTGGAGAAGGGGTCTCTACCTCATCTACCAGGGCAGCAGTGGTGCAGGGAGGCTGCTGGGTCTCACCAGGCTCAGACCCGCCAGAGGGAGTCAAATGGTCTTCTTCCTCCTCCCGCTGCAGGCCCTCTGCACTCACACTGTTGGGATAAAGAACACAGTAAAACCAAGTGAGATGGGCACAAGATTCCGAGGTGGTCGAGACAGACATGAGGGAGTTGTCACAGAAGGTAGAGGATGAAAACTTCAAAGACAGAGTCACCTCCCAGGAGGGCAGGAGACAGGAGGAGATGCACAGTGCACGGGCTGGACAACAGGCTGATGAGGACAGAGTCCCCACACCCCGTGTGACACAACCACGACCCCCAGCACACCCAGAGACCACAGCAGGGCTCCACCTTCCCTACAAATTGTGTGACTTCTCTACCTGTTTCAGTCACTGCCGTGGAGATATCAGAGTCCTAAGACCTTGTGCAGTCTAGGCCTCTTTCCACAGATGCAGGAAATGACAGATATTTTGATCTTCTTAGGTTCCTCAGTACGAAATCCCTGCCAACGCGCTAAGGACACCCGCACAGAGCCAGATCCACAGCTCAGCCTCAACTTCTCCACCCAACAGAGGCCGGTTAGGTCCACTTGGATACAAACGAGTTCCACGGGGACACCGCACACCTTGATAGAAAGTTGTCCCCCTGTCTTGGCAGAATGAACTCCAAGTGCCATTTTCAGGTTACCTTTCTGCATGGGAAATCTGGGCACTCTAGACCTCCTGGTCTGCTCCCTCGGGGACCCACCTCCTCTGGTCCCCACGCAAGTCCCAGCCCTGACTATCCAGTTAGTTACCTGGGGCCCAGCAACAGCTGTTCTTTTCCATCCTCCTCCTGTTCTGGAATCTCTGCAAGCAAATTCACAAATGTGCAGTCAGGCACAGAGTAGCTCCCCATCCCCATCACAGGCCCTGGGCTTCTCTGCAATGAAAATATCTAGGACGGATCAGAGGACGGGCACGGGGCCTCCTCTACTTCCGCTGGAGCACATGAGCACTCCATCAGAGTGCTAGAGAACTAGTGCTTGCTAATATTTCAGGTGGCCCAGAGGGGAATTCAGGGCACTGGGCACAGCGAACAGAGGAGGCAGGGACACCGAAACACCCCTGGGAAGGTGACAGCCCTGGGCTCAAGCTCACGAGAACCAGACACTGCATCACAGGCCTGTGCTGTGCTTCTTCTCCTTGCACACCTGCCCACCCACCAGCAGGGCTCTCGTGTCAGAGCAGAGGAGCCAAATGGAAGAACTGCAGGTGTAGACTTTTAGCAGAACTATCAAGAGGACATGAATGGCCAGGCATAGTGGAGTACAGCTGTGATCCCAGCACTCGGGAGGCTGAGGCAGGAGGATGGCTGGGAGCTCAAGGCCAGCCTGGGCTACACAGTGAGACCCTGCCTCAAAACAACAAAACGTGAAAAATAAAGACAGAATGTGAGACAGTGGAGCAGACAGAAATAAATAGCTCACAGGAGAATTTTGTCTGCAGCAACTACAGCTAGAGCACACCAAAAACACAGCTGAACTGTAGAAGAGAAACACAAATCCTCCCTGAACACTGGATCAGCCTCCACTCATGTCATCCAGCTGCATGCAGGTGGCTTCCAAGAAACAGTGGTACCTAGGTTCACTAACTTAATTCATTCCATGATTCTGGTCACAAACTGAATGAATCGAAATCTGGTCGTGAACCAAATCAAATTTTCCCACAAAGTCAACATCGAACCTAACAACTGATTTTGATTTGGTTAGTGACCGGTTTGGCCTGTGAGCAGAATTGTGGAAAGAATTAAGTTCATGGACAAGGAGCCAGTGTGATTTTTTTTTTCACATAAAAGGCTCAGATTTAATATAATTTATTTAATAAAAATAGAAGTATCCTACAAGATAATGGTAAAGAATATGCCACGAGTATAAATTCCAAATACTTTTTTTTTACAGAAAGAGCTACCAAAAGTTACAAAGATGGCCTGCATGAACTGCTGCCCCGGCCTCCTCAGGGTCAGCAGCCTCCGCACTCCCCAGCAAAAGGGCAGAAACCACTGTGACTTGAAGAGACTGGGAAACAGAGGACAATTTTTGCTGGCAGACCATCCAGACCTTCTGAGTTACCAGAAGAGGAATTTAACACCGCAGCATGAAGAACATGGCCACAGGTCTGACTGGAAAGATACCCAATGGACAGGGAAGCAGAGAGACAAGACTGAAAGGAAATGATATTAACAACCCGAACAGAAATGCAGAAGGCCTTTGTCAGGCTCACCATAGACTAGAGATGGCTCAGAAAGGATGCATCACCTCAAAAAAGTATCAACAGAAATATGCAAACACCAAACGAAAAGAGGTAAGGGAACGAAATAGCTTAAATTAAAAAACAATCAACCAAACAAGCAAAAACCACTTGGCTAGGGCTAGAACTCAAAGGTAAGAGGATTCCCTACCACTGAAAATAGCATCACTAGTATTTTTAAAAATCACGAGATAGCACCAACAAAAACTTCCTGGGTATAAAAAACCTTCATAGCAAGAGTTCAGGATACATGGGTAATATACACAGATCACCTGCTCTGTCATCTGCACCAGGAACAAACACATGGAATTTGAAGTGATAACACATTACCATTTCTATTAATAAAATAAATAAAACTCTAATACATGAACCTAGCAAAACATGTATAAGTGACTTGACCAGCTACACAAATGCAGACATAATCCACATACATGAAGAAAGCCCACAACTGTCAAAATGACTCCATCTACCAATTCTAACCAATTGCAATATAAAACCATCCAACAATTTTGAAGACATCAGATAGATTCTCAAGTTTATTTGGAGTCGAAAGACCAAAAGAGCAAACACAATACTGACAGAAATCAAAGTGAAAGCTCTGGCAGGGTGGTGCTGGGAGGACAGGCACGGATGAGCACCAAGAACAGAGCCCAGAACCAGGCCTCAGCAACAGAGCTCACCAAGGAGCCAGGGCCAATCACAGAGAAAGGAGAGTCTTTAATGAGAGGTGCTGGAACAAGTGGACAGGTGCCGAGGGCTGATCAGACCCCTGGACACCCGTGAGGGGGGACAACGGGGAAAAAGGAGAAACAAAGAAATATCCAAGATGCAAGGGGACCTGGAATAGACAGCCTCTAGTGAACAGACTTGACAATCTCCATGGCTGACCGGCTTTTATTAGCCAGCGAGAAGCACAGGCAGAGGGGGTCATGGAACAGTAATGGTTGAAACGACATTTGAATAATAGGGAACAAGTTACACTTTTACAAGGGGAGTGTGTGAAAGGGAACAGGCTCTTCTCTATACTCCAATGCCTCCCCAAGTTAATAAGGAACTACCATTCTTTACACTGTCCTTGGCAGATGTTATCTTGCCACAGGAGTAGGGAGATTATGAGCATTCTCCATACAGCTTTCAAATGGATGCTTTTCTGTTTCCTAAGGCAGGTTACATCGGCCTTGGGACTGTGGGGCATAAGTCATACAATTTGGCCCCAATAATTCCTCATATATCCTGGTCCCTGACAGGCAGGCACTGGCCATACAAAACCAACTCTAGACAAAGACCTTCCAGTTTCCCAAAAATTACATCAGAATGGATTATAGATACAAGATTAAAAACATTTTTCAGAAGAGAAAAGACAACAAAGAAGAAAATCTCTGTCAACTGCCTCAGGGCATCTCTTAGCCAGAACAAGAGGGCAGTCCACAAAAGAAAAGAAGGAGTAAGTTGGACTGTGACAAATCTGACCTCTGCTCTATGAAGAAAGACACTGCTGAGACCGCTCAAAGGTGAGCCACACACCGGGAGGAAATCTTTGCAAACCGCATCAGGGATGATACTCGGAGACTGGGTCTTTGGGGATCTGGGTGAGGGAGGGATGGATACTTGGGTGGACACAGTGGACTTTTAGGGCAGCGAACCGTTCTGCATGACACTGGAGAGGGCCTGACAGAGTAAACCTGACAGACACTGCGGTCTTGTTACTAGTAACTATCACTGTGGCTCCTCACTCACAGGGAAGGAAACACAGCAGGCTGGCTGTGTTGGGACGGGGAAATTCTCTCTGAGGGAGGTGCTGAAGTCTCCCAGGTGCTACTGGATCGAGGGCCTAAACCAACCCCAGGGGCAAAAGGGTTGTTCTCTTTCCTAAGTGCATTTTGACAATTCTCTTCCTGCATAAGAGAGTGAACAAGACCACGCAATCCCTTTTCTGTACATCAGGAGACAGGAATTCAGGAAAGATGAAGTGATCAGTCACACACTGAGTACAGAAAGCCGTCAGGCTGGAGCTTGGGAAATTTTCTTAGTCCAGAACGATATTTATTCTGACGAGCTGCCTCCTGCCACATTCCCCTTCATGGCTTTAAAATGAGATGGGATGCTGCCGCCTCAAGACAGAGGCCAGGTTCCATCAGGGACAAAGCACACTGGGATGCTGTGACCTCCACGCTGTGTATTCATCCCGTGTTCCCACAGGGGCAATCCTGAATTTGCCACAGCTCTAAAGGACACGGGCACCAGGACAGCTCATCAAACAAGTCACCCTGTGACTGTAGTGACCCGTAATTACAGCTCAGCAAAATTAGGGCCTGAGGCCTCCTTACCTAGGTTGAGCATGTGGACGAGCTGCTCTGCCAGCCTGCACCCTGCAGCCAGTCCCTGTCGCCAGCTGTGCTCGTTGTCAGGGTGACCTCGACTGAGGTGGACCTCCAGAGACTCCTTCAGCAGCAATGACACTGCTCTCCCTTCTTTCAGCTTCTTGGTTAACTCAGAGAGCTCCCATTTCTGCTCTCGAATGAGCAACGTGGACACCCTAGGAGGGAGAGAAGCACCAACGTGAACCCACAGAAAGGTGCATGGGGTTTACAGAGGCACTGAGAGAGGTTTTGTGACAAGATCCCCAAGGCCCCTCAAGCAGAACTCAGGCATGTGTCTGGACAGTTCCCTGTGGCAAAGGAAAAAAGAAGACAAATTAAAGGGCTCTCTTGCACCACCAAGTGCTCCTGTAGGATGCCTGACACTGCCCTCATCTCCTCTTGTGTAATCAAAGACAGGTGTCCTGGGTCTCCTGCCTAAAGATGTCCTGTCACTTCCACATTTGGCCATGGAAGTGTCTGGGTCAACAGAGACACAGGGCCCTGGGCAGAGCTGGTACGCACACCCAACACAGACACGTGTCCGGATACAGCTGGGGTAGCTGGAGAAAAATGGAAGACCAGAGCTCTGCAGGCTCAGGAAGACAGATTCTTCTGAATGGAGGACGTGCCTTCAGCCCTCAGCAGGTGACCGGGAGGAAGAGGGATGAGGGAGGGACTGCACCACACCACAGGCTGCGACCTCAACAACCGCCACATCGTTATTTACTTTCATTTGCTTAGTTTTAAACTGTTTTTTTTTTTTGGTACTGGGGATCAAACTCAGGTCCTTGCGCTTGTGGGGTAGGCGGCGGAAACACTGAGCTAAATCACTGGTGGCTTAGTTTTATATCATGTGAAATTGAGCTCAATGTATTTTTAAAAAGTGCAAATGAGGGTCTTCTGAACAGTCCCAGTCCAACAGCTACCACCTGTTTCTTCCCGACATATAACCGTGGAGCCTGTGGCTATGAGGCTTCTGCCCTCCCTGGCACACACAGCTCTTGTTTCTCATACCTGAGCTGCCCTCTTCAGGGACTCACACACCTTCCCCCCGCCCGCCCTGCACACACCCCTTACCTGAGCTGCTCGGTCAGGGGAAGCTCTGCGGACAGCTCCTGCTCTTTGGGCTGCGGCTTCTCCCCAAGCAGAGACTCCACATCATCTTTGTACTTTACACCTCCTGAGAAAAGAGATGTGTCCGCCTCAGTGGACAGCTGGACACGCGGCTGTGGGCACCGCCTGCAGAGGAGCAGGCCACGCCCATCACAAGGACAGCTCAGCACCAGGCTCTCTGCCACCATCACCGTATTTTGATTTCCTACTCTCTCAAACAGGTAGTGTCTGATGGTCTCCATTAGTGATAAGGACAGAGAAGCTGCCAGGCAAGTATACTGACAAATGACTAACGGTGTGACAGAGTCAGAACTCACATCCCCAAGTCTCAATGGGTGTCCAGGACCACTGGAATGGCCAGGCCCATAGCCTCTGAACTCACACCCTTAGCTGGGCATGAAGCGGTGCCAGCTCTATTCTTGGAGTACAGTAAGTACTCCGTGGGATGGGATTCCCGTGAGGAACATGGTTCTCGAAGACAAAAGAAAAAATCTTGCCTGGCAATGTGTATACAATGTGCGGCAAGACAGTGTAAGGAGCGGACAGTAAATACCCAACACTGTAAAGCTGGTGCTCAGGTGGAATAGCAAGGCCCACCGTGAGTGGGTGCCTGTGCCAGGCACTGTTGTAAGAGTGTCACTGCAACTAACTCAGAGCTAGCTCACTGCGACCCAGTGATGAGGGACTGGTGGAGACCACAGAACAGGAGGAGCCTGAGGGCACCGAGGAGGAGACTCCTGGATTAGAGCCCAGGGACACCCCAGCACCCGCGCTCCACACATGTCCTCCACAGGGCCTGGGGATGGCTTTCTCCTCTGTCACCCTCAACATCTTTTCCTGCACTTCAATCTGATTCTATGGACGGATGACACGAGTGAAATGCAGTTGGCCTCTTCCCAAAACTCACCTGGAGACTCCTTCACACGGTTGACTTTTTCTTGAGTCCCCCTCAACTCACCAAAAACCCCTACTAATGGATTGTTGGAAGGAACACTAGGTCGGTGTGAGGACTTCAGGCTCAGAGCGGGTGATGGTCCCTCTGGTGATGGCGCTGGGCCAAGCGCCATCCCTGACTCCTCAGTCACCACAGCCCCTCTCCTGCACAGGCCAACAGGCTCTGCTATGGGGCCAGGTACGGGAGGGCGGTGCTCTGCTCGTGACCCTGGCTGGACCACAGCTGGCCTCCTCCACACCCCCTCTCCTGCAGCCTCACGTCTCAGAGCTCAGGCCCCCGAGGTGTACCTGGGCCTGCTGCTCAGCCCCTCCCGAGAGTCCACCAGCTCTTGGAGAGACAGATGGGTGCCACATTCTCCCATCCCAGACACACCCTCCACTGAATGACAGGAACGGCTGTCCTGGACACCTAAGAAGAGCCTGTGCCCCACAAAGCAGGTCTTCCCCATTGCCATTCAAGTGCCTGGTCTCCATGGCAACAATGGTGGCTGCCATAGGTTCAGTTAGGAGCAGAATCCCCCCCAAGGTCCTCTGAAACCTGTTGCCCCCAGCTTTCCCCAACATAACCAGCAGGTGCCGTGCCCACTTGGCCTCCACAGAAGCTTCAGGGCAAGGCGAGGCTCCTGGTCCCAGAACAGTAGGCCAAGAGTAATGCTACACATCTGGAGGATCTGAGAGGGGACACAGAGGGTCCTCACCGAAATGGCCTGACCCATTCTTGAGAAAAGCACACCATTCCCTGCCTTCAACAGCAATCGGTAACTGGGATTTTTACCTGGGTCCCACCCCACTCCTCACTCTGAACTGGGAAACACTGGTAAATGCTTTGAGCCCCAGTCTTCCATCCAGAGGGAGGGCAAGATACCAACTTCTACCTTTCTACAAATATGGGAAGGTAAATTAATTTCGATAAAGTGAAGAAAAGAATCACTTTTGGAGACCATTTTTCACTTATGGAGAGAAAACAGAACCATTTATCATCCTGCTCACTGTGAACCTACACAACTCACCACATTTCTGCACTTTGGTGTCCAGAGAGCCAACAGCTGCTTCAGGTCTAACAGAACTTGATCTGCAGTCTTCAAATTGCAGTTCATTCTCTCCCACCCAAGAGCACTTATACTCCTTGAACTCCACAACATTCACTTCAGCCCCTGGACTGGGGCTGAGTGGTACTGCCATGGTGACCTCGGTAGCAGTAGATGTACATCCAAGGACTGTGGAGAAGAAATCCAAACACAACCTGGGTTAAAATCAAAGGAAATCAAGCTGGGCACGGTGACACATGCACTCGGGTGTGTGTAACCCCAGCACTTGGGAGGCTGAGGCAGGAGGATTGGTGTGAGTTAGAGGGTAGCCTGGACTATGTAGTGAGTTCACATCCAGCCTGAACTACATAGCAAGATCCTGTCTCAGAAAACAACAAAAAGGAAATCAAACAGGTTGGATCAGGAATGAAGGAGGACAATAACTACACTGATGAACTCACTGTTGGGAACAAGTCGATCAACACCTCACAACACTTGAGAATTTCACCGTAAAAACAAGTATCCAGAATCTGAGTTCAGAGCAGAAGGTGCTGCCTGTGGCTCAGACTAGACACGAGTGAGGCAGTTATGGCCCAGGGTGCTGGCAATGGCTGACAATTAAAGGCAGCGGATTGGACGGTGGGGAGGACACAGAATTCCAAGGAGCCCCTCCCTTCCAGCTGCCCAGGCTGTGCTCATACTCAAGGCCCCCCAGTGGCTTCAGAAAGTCCCCACCATCATATGAGGACCTCCCACTCACTCATCCACCACCCCCGAAGGCTGTGCACCCTTGGGCTCATCCCAACAACCACTTTCCCCCCAAAAGTAGGCATATTTCTCAAAAAGAGTTCACACTTCTCATGTCTAACACCATCAAAACAAAAATTGTTTCCCAACAGTTTACAGTTTCTTTAGGGTGGTCTGGAAGTGACTTTGTCCTTTCTTTATCATTAAAACAGTTCTTGGGGGTTTTGTTGACATCCAAACTGCAAAGCTAAGGAAACGTAAACATGTCAAACTATCAGGACTTTTTTTCTCTGAATATTCACCCCCTCCAGGTTAGCTACGTAGCCCAAGCCAGCCTCAAACTCATGGAGATCCTCCTGCCTCAGCCAGCCTCCCGAGTGCTGGGATTACAGCCGGGTGCCACAATGCCCCGCATCATCCATTATTTCTAAACCCATGAAATGTGTAGAACAAAGAGCATCACACGACACAGAGACATTACTAAATTAGTAAGGCTTTAATTTTTTGTATTCACCAATATTATCCTGGCTACAATATGTCCTTTTTATGTTAGCTACTTCTCTCTCCGTGGGAAAACTGTTGGCTTTTCCCATAGCTAAGTTTGATGTCACTACCACTTAGCCTTCTCCTCTAGGTTGGGTTGCTTTTTGTGGTTGTCTTTTTTAATGCCACTAAATTGTGATTTCTGGATTACATCTTAGCCCCACAAGAACTTTTCCCAACTGTCAACGTGATTAAAAATAGTTCAGTACCAAACCTTGAATACTTGGGAGTTTCGGTTTGGGGAAGACAGGTAAACAGAATGGTATTTGTATGTCTGCGTTTAGTTCACTGGGGACTGGAACAAAACACGGCCCATCAGAAGCTGTTACTGGACACCACTGATAGACACGTGGTAGCTAACCGAGAGCTGCTGACCGGCTGAATCCCATGAGCCCAATGCGGTAAGTTATGGCCAGGAGTCTGGTTGGTGATGAGCCTCAGTGCACATGTGCCATGGGGCCCAGTGACACCAAGGCTGAGGTTGAGGAGAGAGGGCGGCTTTTTCAGCACCTGTACTTTCTCAGCACCCATCCCCACCTAGGTATCGTGAGCCTGCACCTTCTGCAGAGATGCTCTGCTCGCATGGCCAACACTTTCCAGGTTAGTGGTCAGATTTCCTGATTCGGGGGGCAACAGGTGTGATCCTGGACCACAGAGCATCCATGTCCAAGGGAAGGACGGGGACAGGATCAACACCTGAGAAGGAGGCCACCTTCACCCCACACCATCCTCCAATTACACCA